TTTTTTATTTATTTAAGATGGTTAGTGAGGTTTGTTAAAAAAGGGTGTGACAGGTATTCCCCCCTCAGCCTCGCGTTCGCGTCTCAAGCTTCGCGTTCGCGAAGAAGAAATCTGGCACCTGGGAAATTTGCCTTACGCATTCGCGAGAGGGACCCTGCGAACGCAAAGAGTAAAATCCCTAAGCACTGAACAACAGAAACCTGCAACTTTTTGAGTTCCAAAAACCTTCCGAAACACATCCGAAACACACTCGAGCCATCAGGGCTCAAAACCAAACATACGTACTAACTCAATAACATCATACGAACTTTTCTGTGCGATCAAATCGCTAAAATAACCTTAATAATAACGAATTAAACCTCAAAATCAATGAAATATTTCAAAACTTCTTAAAGCATCAAACTTTGCATTTATGGTCCGAATCACGTCAAACGAATTCCGTTTCTTACCAAACTCCATAGAATCATCTTAAATCATATATAAGACCTGTACCGGATGCCAGAACCAAAATACGGGCCCGATACCAACATGTTCTAATAGAAATACATTTCAAATTCCTTTAAACAATTTCAGAAAATAATTTTCTTTAAAAATTTATTTCTCGGGCTTGGGATCTCGGAATTCGATTTCGGGCATACGCCCAAGTCCCATATTTTCCTACGGACCCTCCGGGACCGTCAATTCACGGGTCTGGGTTCGTTTACCCAAAACATTGACCAAAGTCAAATTTATTCATTTTATAGTCAAAATTTATCATTTTTCACAGATTTTCACATATAAGCTTTCCGGCTATGCGCCCGGACTGTGCACGTAAATCGAGGTGATGCTAAATGGGATTTTCAAGGCCTCGGAAATACAAAATTCAATTTAAAAGCAAGTGATGACCTTTTGTGTCATCATACCAACAATGTTGAGCCACCCCTGGGCAAAGCTATAAGGGGTCGTTTGGTAGGGTGCATAAGAATAGTGCTGAATAGGGTGTATTAGTAATACTGGTATTAGTTATGCTTGCATTAGTTATGCTGGTATTAGTTATGCTGACATATTTCTTATCTATTGTTTGGTTTGATGTATTAAAGCATTGCACATTTTCTAAAAGAATTGTTTGTTTACAAAAATGCCCTCAAAACCAGTCCATCACTCTAACTTTTTAAAAGAAACATATGTTGAGAAATATTTTATATGAAAAAGTTTAAAAAAATTATTTGATTTGTCTACCTATATTGTAATATAGAACTAAATATTTATTTATAAAAAAGAAATATGCTAAGTATTTATTTATTTACGAGGGAATAATTTTATTTTTCACAATTTGGATTATTTAAACTTGCATTAATATAATAACAAGCATATTTTAATAAAGCATAAATTTTGAAGGATAATTTTGTTTTTAACTAAGCTAATGCATGCATTAAAATCAATTGCATTGCTAATACCATGATTTTCTATGCACTAGTTATGCATATGATAATACCAAATAGAATGTATAACTAATACTTGCATAACTAATGCATAAATTCAAAATATCTATCATACAAAGTATTATTAATACACAAAGCTAATGCATACATTATTTTATGTTATGCATCCTATCAAACGACCCCTAACAAGTCAAAGAATAATTAGTTGAAAAAGTAGTTTAATGTACAAAGACATCTTAGGTAGGAGGGAAGGAACGCACCCGAGGGATGTGTCATATGGCGGTCACGGTTCTTGCTTTTACGTGCTAATTAGAAGTTCATACTTTCTTTAATGCAAAGTGTATATATGACGTGTGGATATCTACTATTCGTTTCTTATTAAAGTAGCTTTATGCTTGTATAAATTATTAATTATAATGTCTAGTGCATGAATCTGCTGAGTAGGATATTCATTACGTAGAGAATCATGTATATCTATAACCACTAAAACCCTTGTGTTAAAGAAAAAAAAGGAAGAAACAAAAAAGAGAAAAAGTAGAACAGCATATATAGTTTCTGGTTACTTCTTTAGTTCTTTAACGTGCATTGTGTGTGTGTTTTTAATGCCATCAATGATAAAAGGAGTGAGTTTCATAAAACATAACTATGTCCTTTTTTTTTCCACCATTTGTTTTGTAATTAACATAAAAATCACATTTTCACCCTTAATAACAAAAAAGTTGGGTTGGGTTAATTTGTGATACAACTTTCTTGTTAATCACCACTATGATGAAAGTCTTGTATTTTTTATACTACAAAACAAAGTTATACGATTTTGGTGAAAATAATATAGTTGTATGACCTTTTATGAAGTATACCCATGATAAATTCTCGGTCCCTAGCCATTCCTACATTTCAGTTAACATATAGGAATTCTAAAGAGCAGAAAAACATATAGACCAATCCGTGGCAGTCTGGTGTACAAACGATCCTACATTCACCCGAAGTCCCAGGAAGGATGCATCCCAAGGTATAATATAGATAATCTGGTCTAATACAAGTATTAGTGGCTACTTTTACAACTCAAATATGTGACCTATAAATCACACAAATAGATTATACGAAAATAGATTTATCATTGCTTCAAGGTTCCTGTAAAGCAAAAATGGGTGGCAATTTCACCTTAATTAATCAGACTCCATTTGTTATAGATTTTATTATCCTCCCATTATATAAAATATAAATGTTGGCCTTTGTGTATTTTCCACTATCGACAACCCCACCTAAATTTTGATAAAATGTGCATGCATATATATATTTGGTCCCCATCTTTTTTTCTAGTTGCCAATGACACATAACTCCACTATCTCTTAAGCAAAGATAAAACCATGAGCAATCTCTAATCTTAAAACTAAAGCCCAAAAGAAATTCTCTTTGTAAGAAACTAAAATGGGTGTCATTAGTTTCTTGGACACCATATTAGTCCCCTTGAGTCTTTTCATCACAATTGGCTACCATTTCTATCTTTGGCACCAATTGAAGCATAAACCTTCTCGCACCACCATTGGTATGAATATGCTCAAGAAGAGATCTTGGCTGCGAGAGCTCAATCAAGTAAGTCTTCCTTTTCATTCTTCAGTTTTTAATTTCCTTGTCTTTGTGTGGCCTGTAAAATTAACCACTGCTTGCATAAGAGTAGATTACCTACATCACACCTCCGTAAAGTACAACCCTTTTCTGATCCCTGCATGAACGCGAAATATTTCGCGCACCAAGCTGCACTTTATTTATGAAGAGTCTTACGATTACAGAGACGGATCTAAGGGTTGCCAGGGGTTTAATTCTGCTTCGACTCTAAGCAGTCTGGTTGTTTATGAAGAGTCTGCTCCGACTCTCTCTATATATACGTGTTCACGCAAGGTTCGGGAAAGGACCACACCCTAAGGGGTGTGATGTAGGTAGCTTACCTGATGCAAATATTAATGGCTAATTCCACGACTCAAACCCGTGACCGATAGGTCATACTGTTGCTTCAAGGCTTCAAGACTATAACTGTACACATACAAAAAAAAATTAATCATACTCATTCTGAACCGGCCCCTTCTAGTTCTTGAATTAGTCTCTGTTGATGATTTATTAAAATCTTTTTTTCTTTTTGGTGGCAGGGAAACGAGAAGAAAGGCACGTTAGCTGTACAAAGCTTAAGAAATGCACTAATGGAAACAATACTCACAGCAACTATCACAATGATCATAACTTTAGCATTGGCAGCTCTAACAAACAACACTTATAACGTGAGAAACCTCTTTACTAGTGCTTTCTTTGGATCACAAACAGGGAAGATAATCGTGTTGAAATATGGCTCAACAACTATTTTCTTGTTGGCAAGTTTCTTGTGTAGTTCGTTGGCACTTAGTTACTTAATTGATGCTAATTTCTTGGTTAATGCATTGGGGGAATTTGCCATAAATCCAATGTATACAGAGACATTATTTGAAAGAGGATTTACGTTGGCTTTTGTTGGGGATAGAGTGCTTTGTATGGCTTTTCCTCTTTTGTTATGGATGTTTGGTCCTGTGCCTGTGGTTGTGTCTTCTTTGGCTTTGGTTTGGGGATTACATGAGCGTGATTTTGCTGGAAATTTTGCAAGAAATATGAATAAAAGTTGTACTTGAATAAGAAAAACTTCTAGTTGTTGTTATTAACAGGGATCGTTTGGTTGGAATACGATTTATACCGGTATAAGTTATGCCGGTATAAGTTATATTGGGATAAGTTATGCTGAGAATAATTATGCTGGATTGTTGTTTATTCATTGTTTGGTATTTTGTATTAAGAATGACAATTGCATAATTTATAAGAAGAAGGTATAAGTTATACAAGTGCTAATTACCCCACCTTCTATAAGGTATAAGTTATCCCGGTGTTAATTTTTAATGTCGGGATAATTTATACCTAATTTGCTAACCAAACAGAGTATTAACACCGGGATAACTTATACCTAGATCCCTTGATTTTCTATACATTATTAATGCAACAACAATAATAAATTCAGTATAATCCCATAAAGTAAAAATTGGAGAGTAAGAGGCGGATGTAGCATACAGTTACTAGGTTCAACTGAACTCAGTACTTTCGATGCAGAACATAAATTTATAAGTAAAAAATCACTAAAGTTATAATAAATAGTAAATATGAACCCAAATTTTAAAATATAACGGTTTCAATATTAAATCTTTAAATATTGAACCCATAAAATTAAATCCTAAATTCGTCTGTGTTAAGAGAGTATCGTGTGTATGTAGATTTTACTCTACCCATTCCCTATATCAAGTTACCTTCTTTTTTTGTATTTTGTTTTTAAAGAACCTTTTGAGTTGAAGTGCAATAAGAACTTGAGTCTGGGCTCACAATTTTACGTGCAAGCAAGGAAGAAAAATGTAGTAGGAGTTAAAAATGGAAAAATAACATTGTCTGGCCGAAAATAATAGCAAAATATATATATATATATATTATATACAAATAAAAGTGATCTTTCCCTTTTAAAAAGCACTTCCATATCAAAGCATGTAACATATCTTGCTATAAACTTTATGTCAATGAAACAAAAGAACATTATGACATCACTTGTACAAGAATTTGTTTGAGAAAATTATATAGTTCATTAGTCAAACCACAGTCCGCGGCTAAAGCACCAACCTTCTAAAATAAGTCTAATTTTATTACATGTATACACTATATATTATTTTAACTTATACTTATGTATACATAGTTAGAACCCCGAAAGTAATTAATTTAGTTGAATTCACAAGAACTTATCCTGAATCTACCTATACTCCCAAAAAAATATGAGAGAAAAATCTACCCTTAAAATTCAAAAGGCAAATCGTCAAAGTCAATTCCCGCCATCATCTCCATCTCCATCTCCATCTCCATCTCCAAATTGTGAGTGCTAGTAACTGATTCAGATGAGATGTAATCCACATTATCAGACGCCGACGATAACGCCGTCGCCATAACATTGCCGGAGGTTTCAGTTGCCGGAGTCCAATAATCATTGGCCGGAAGAATATAGTCGGAAGTTGATATTTGGTTTTGGTTGTTATTAGGGTAGAAGAAACTTGGGGAGTTTTCCTCTTTAGTTTCTTTTTTTGTTGAAAAAAATGTGGGAAAATTATAAGGATGGTAATAATGATTATCCTTGGTATTAAAACTGAGTAGGATTGAAGAATTTTCATAATCTGTTGAAGAATCTAAGAGTATTTGGGAAGCTGTGGGGTAAGTTGTACATGTGTGATGACCTTGGTATATTGTCCGAAACTGTGGTGGATTGTCTTGAATTCTTTGCACTTGTTTAATTGCTTCACATCCTTGATCAAATTTGTTGGTACATCTATAATAATGCCTGCATATTAATACACATCAATAAATCAATCAATATTAAAATGAAAGGGAACTTGTGGAGCAACGATAAAATTATTATCGTGTAGCCAAGATTTCAACTTTATGTGTTCTTGATTATGGAATGACGATCTCAAATACGAACAACTGGGTTCTAAATTTAATTTTTGTATATATTTAATTAATTTTTTTAAACACAAATATATTATTTGTGCAAAAGCTATTGGGTTTACCCGAACCCATAACCGGGCTTCTAGCTCCGCCCCTGCTTATAGGTCATGAGTTCGAGCTCTGGAAGTAGCTATAGGATAAGTTGTCTACATCACACCCTAGAGATGTAGCCTTTTCCTGAACCCTGTGTGAATGTGAGATATTTTATTCATGAGACTACTTTTTTTTATTAATCAATTGAATCTCAATATCAAAATATATTGATCATTAACCAAAATAATGTACTTAAATGGTTTTCTTAATGAACAAGGCTTAGTGTAAAAAGATAACCTTGGATAAGGGGCATCAAGAATTTGTTTTTGGCCATATTTTCTCCAAACATGTCCGTCATCCGCCAAAGTTGAGGTTTCTTTAACGGTTTTCGCTGAAATTTTCCTGTTGAAATATTTGTCAATCATTTGTTAGCGACTCACTCAACAACAACAATAAACTCCGCGTTATTCCACAAGTAGAATCAGGAAAAAATGAGGTGTACGTAGATTTTACCTTTTCTTATTGCATCCTATTCGATCTTTTGCTGATGATTTCTTGCAACTGCCCGTTGAGTCTTCCGGCGACGTCCGTCCGTCTTTCGGACAAGGAAAAACGGCCACCATCGGAATCTGAGAATCTTCATTGGAGTTGCTAGTGTTTAGTATTGACAAAGTCTTACAAAATGAACCCATAATTTGCCCTACCAAATTCTCAGCCAACATATTCATGTCTCCATTTACTAGAGATTGTTTTATCACATCTCTTAGCTTGTGTGTGAATTCTTGGCCGCAATTCAACTCTTTGATTAACATTTTCAGATCAGACAATGAGTTTTCTTGCCATTGGGACTCCATATATATGATGAGTGATATTAATTCTATCAACTTTAGCAAGAAATCAAGGACTAAAATGAGGGCCCATTTATATGGAAAAGAAAAGGTAAGTGATTGACTTAAGAATCTTAATTTTAAGGATAAATTTGCCCTTAGATCTAAGAAATTTCAAACTCCACGTGCATAAAAAACTTTTTTATTAATACTACTATTGTATTGATCAATAACTAGAGACAATAATGGGGTTATATTTTATGAACCTATGAATCACAATTTAGATCTAAAACTTACTTAGAGCAGTCTGGTGTACAAAGTATCCTGTATTCACAGTGTTTAGGAAAAGGTTGCACCCTAAAGAATGTGATATAGGCAACCTACCCTATTCCACCGCTCGAGTCGTGACTTATAGGTCATATATAAACAACTTTACTGTTGCTCCAAGGCTGTCCTTTGGATCTAAAATCACTTGGATGTGAAAAATTTACTCTCACTCAGTGTTTTCCTAAACCAATAATAAGGTAAGACATGCTCGTATATGAGCTTTTATCACTTGATTATGATTAAATAATTAGTATTATTGGTTAACTTTTTAATTAATTAGATTAAACTGCTTGATTTGATTTGAAATTGGGAGATATTTTTATATCAGGCATTGCAAGGAACACTAAAAAAATTACTCCTATTACACGTATCATATGACGTTTGTGATATGTTGTCACCCTAATATCGTCATTCCATGTTCTACCTGGCAAGAATTAATTGTCAACTTCTGTTTAGCAATAGTAAATTGGTAGTAATTTGTTTAGTCTTAATTGTTTAGTTGCATTTTCCTAATCCTACGGTTTTGGTGGTTACAAAAATAGCTAGAAGTGGTGAAGCCACAAAACTCAAGGATGTATTTCCAATTTTGAACACCCTTTGCCAGTGGGCTATATAAGGGTATTCAAAGTCTATTTTTAATCAATAACAAGTAATATTTTACCTTATACATAGTATAATTTTTTGGCGAAGGGTGGTCAGTTGACCACCCTTGAGCCAACCTAACTTCGCCCCTGCCATTCACAGTGGCGGATGCAGTATAGAACCACCGGGTTCAACTGAATCCAATACTTTTAACGGGGAGCATAAATTTATGTATAAAAAATCAGTAAAATTGCAATAAATAGTAAATATGAACTCATAACTTTAAATGCTGAACCCATAGATCTAAAATCCTAGATCCGCCTCTAGCCATTCACCATGTATATGATATTATAGTATTATCGTTATCGTTATCGTTATCTTAGTAATACTATAATAACCTTTAAGAAATTGAATGAGGATTCAAGAAGGGGCACGTAGTTGAATTTGAACTGAGGGGCATGTTCACATGTACAGTTCAACGTTAGACTTTGAGTGATATTTGCTCCTAAGAAATACTATTATAGACAGAGTACACAACATGTGACGTATGAGATTTTGATTATAAGTATAATATACACAACATGTGACGTATGAGATTTTGATTATAAGTATAATATGCTTATCTTATTATAATGATGATAATAATGACGGTGATTATGACGATGGCGATGAGATTTAGATTTCATTATAAGGCGCTATATATGATAATTAAATAGAGAACCTTGTTAGCACCTTCTATGTTCTTGTTCCCACTATGTTTTTTAATCTCCATTTCCCTCGACGGGCAAGTTGACCAATATAAACACTTATGGTTTAAAAATTTAATACCACTTTAATACTTTATCTGGTTAGCAAATCAGGTATAAGTTATTTCGGTGTTAATTTTAACACCGGGATAACTTATATACCTTATAGAGGGTGGGGTAATTAGCACCGGTATAACTTATATCCTCTTCTTATAAATTATACAATTGTCATTCTTAATACAATATACCAAACAGTGATAATCCCAACATAACTAATCCCAGCATAACTTATCACAACATAACTTATACCGGCATACGTCCTATTCCAACCAAACGACCCCTAATAATTTTGAGTTCGATTGACTGGTCCAAAAATTACGTGGAAGCAAGGAAGAAAAATATAGGTAAGCGTGTTTATGGTTCGGTTTGGTTTGATTTTTCTCTAAAAAAAAAATCAACCCAATTAAGTCATATATTCAAATATTAGAAGCAAACCAAAACAATTATATACCTCGAATTTTTATAGGTTCGGTTTATGTAGATTTTAGTCCCTTTTTCAATTTTTTCGACATAACACTATCAAATCAATTATTCTTTAAGTATATTTGTTATTTACTAAGATATATTGATAGTATACAATTGAATTAAATAGTGATGAGTAATTTAAGAACTCAATTAAAGACAATTTATTTTTAACATGAAATAGATTGTTGGACTTAGCAAAACAAAACTATCATCAGACTATAATGTAAAAGCAAAGAACTTGATTATTATAATGGCAAAAGGTAGACTACTAACTAAGAGTGCAAATGGTTAAATATCTACCATAAAATTTTAAAAACTATATATATATATATATTATTTTTTTAAATAAGTATTTTATAGTCGGTTTGATTCGATTTTTTCGGCTATTTTTTGCTTTAAAACAAAAACAAATCAAATTTAGTCAATTTTTAAAATTCAAAACTAAAACTAAATCAAATCAAATTATTATCGATTTTTTGTGTCGGTTTGATTCGATTTTTGGTTTGGTTCGGATTTCCGATTTTTCATGAACACCCTTAAATATAGGAGTTAAAACATTTTTCCATGTCAAATTAAGCATGTAACACCTTACTACAAATTCAATGTCTGACTAATTTAAAAAAATATTACACTACTTACAGAAATCCTATAGACAAGAAAAATTTTGAGGAGTGCACCATCATATATATCCATCTCCATCTCAAAACAAGTACTAGTAGTAATACAAGAAGAGTAGTCCCCATATGACATGAAATTCCGATGATCTTTCATCAGTGGCGGAGCCAGGATTTGAAGGTTATGGGTTTGGAGTTAGAATTATTTTAAGTTATTGTATTCTAAATTAATACTTAATACATAATTAATGAATTTCACAAGGCAAATACATGGTTTGGACCAAAGTTATTAGGTTCGACTAAATCTGTAGCTGATGAGCTAGCTCCGCCCTTGTCTTTAACGTCGCCGGAAGTTTCAAAAGCTGCCGGAGTCCGACGATCATCGGAGGAAATATAATAATAGGATCTTGATGATTGGTTTTGGTCAACATTAGGGTAGGAGCAGCTTGAGGAGGCTTCATTTTTAATTTCTTGTTTTGTTGAAGGAAATGAAGGGACATAAGGTTGGTGATAATTAACATTGGAATTGAAACTTAGTAGGACTGAAGACTCCTCGTCCCCTAAAGAATTTAAGTTCTCGTATGGTCATAGATTTTGGCTTTATTTTTTCAAAAAAATTTTGAAAACATTATTTATTTACGAAATATGATCATGTTTTGGGGGATAAAAAATTCAAAAACTTTCAAGTTCCCAAAAATTGATTTAGGGCAGTTTTTGGATGAAAATGTTTCTTCCAATCACAAAACTTCAGCTTTTTTTTCAAATAAAATGCATGCCCAAGCACAACTTTAACTTTCAAAAATTATTTTTTAACACAATTTCAAAAACCCTTTTTTCAAGTTTCAATCAAATCTATATCTAAACGTTAGGAGATTGAAGGATAAGTTTTGCATGTATGATGACCTTGGTACGTGGTTCGAAACCGTGGAGGATTGGCTTGTATTCTTTGCACTTGTTTAGTTTTTTTTTTTGGTCTTGAAAGATTAATATTATATAACAAAACTTAAGTACATAGCAGGAGCAAACTAGGGTGGCTGTTCTCGACAGAATACAAAAAGGCATTGCCATACCTTGGTGGATCTAAAGTGGGAATCTACTGCCAAATGGCTATTCTGGGTACAAAGTGATACATGAGAGTTTAACAAAAAGAGTTGTAATCATTAGGTTGGCCTAATGTAGTTGCATTAAGTATACGCCTATAGGTTGAGCCTTGCTTATCATCGAGAAGTATCTTCAACACAAAAACTGGAGCGTCTTCAAAAACGAGTGTGTATGGACCACGATATTCCATAAGACCATACTTTGCCATAGCATCCGCCACTTGGTTTTGCTCCCGATATGTATGAGTAACAGGAGGATCATCCAATTGGTGGAGAACGGATCTGCAATCATTAAGAATATGTGAATATAACAAGTTACCTACCTTTAGTAAATGTATTACCTCTTTTGCATCAACATCTACTTCCAAGGGTATGCGTTGGCGCTGGTGTGCTAAACGAAGACCCTGTAAAAGACCCATTAGCTCCATGTGTAAACTGGTTGTGTGCGTAGAACTACCAGTGCATCCAACAATCCAGTTTCCATTAGAATCACAAAATGACTCCTCCATAACATGTGGCTCGAGTCGTAGCGCAAGCAACACCATCTGAATTGAGTTTATAGAAATTATGGTTGGAGGGTGCCCACCGAACATGTATGGGTGTTAAGGTAGGTCTAAATCTTAGAGGCAGGGCACAGTGAAGATATTTAATAGCTTGATTGATTATGTAGGAAGTACTGATAGAATGCTAAATGTCGTCAAGCGTGTTATGGTTTCAAATATTCCAGATATGCCACAAGGAGAATGGTATAAGGAGGGCAGGGGAGTTGTTTGGGGTACTGAGTATGATTTTGGTGAATGAGCTCCTTAAGATATATCGGGGGGTGGGGGGTGTGCAGTGGCATCTAGCAGGATAGGAGCTCCTTGATGGAGACCTAGTGAAGTCCAAAAGGATGCAACATAAGCACAAGCAAAAAAGATATGGTGGATCGTTTCTACTTCTCTGTTACAGATTTTACAGATGGGAGACGGAAGTCATTTTAGGTGAGCAGGGTAGGAAGCAGTAGGCAAGCGTTTGTGGAAAAATAACCATATAAAGTGAATTATCTTATGAGGTAATTTTAGTCGCCAAATTCAGCGAAAAAGGTGAGTAGTAGTGAAGGATGCGTAGCTAGATTTGACTGAGAATAAGCCAGTATTGTTAA